TGGGGGGGAGGGGGGAGTGTTGCAATGAACAGCAAGGGAGGGAGGCAGGTAGGTGGAAGAACTGTGACATCTAAAGCTGCCTCTGCCTCTCTCTCTTTACCCCTCAAGGCTGTCTTATGGAGACCGGAATGAGCAAGGAAATGAACTACAGGTACATCAATTAACTGCAGAAACAGCCCTCCACCTGCACTTCCAGTGGCATCCCTGGTCCTGGGCAGGGTCTCCCACAGCAGGGAATTCTGCAGACACCAAGGCTGGCCCACCGGGCACTGGCTGCAGAGGAAGATGGGGGCACAGCTCCTTGGGAAGAAAAGGACAGAAACAGTTGAATGAATTCCATGAATTGGTAAATTGCTAACCTAATCTTTCTCTTTGGATGAATGTCCTTTGTCTCTGCGTTCAGTGGTGGAAAAGGGCACAGGGTGAGGCTGCTGCCAGCTCTCTTCTCATTCAACGACAGGCCCCAGGTCTTACATCAGCAATATTCCAGAAGCCTAAGAAAGGGCAATGCGGCAAATGAGCCTCTTCTGCCCTCCCACTGTGTCTGCTTTAGGATATGAGCTGGGCTGGGAGGGCCTGAAATAAGCATACTTGGTAAATAGAAATAATTCTAGTAATGCCATGTTATTAGTTCTAATCATGCTATTATTAGCTATATAATGGGTCAATAAATATTACACTTTTACTCTAAGCAATGTGCAAATGCTTGATATGCATAATCTCACTTTAAAATAATCCTATGGTAAATTATTATCCCCATTTTACAAATTATTTAATCCTGAACTAAATAATTTTCATGTCATCATCCAGTAAGTAGCCACACTGGGACTGGTTTCGCCCCATTCTTAACCATTACACTACAGTGGTTGGTACAGTATAATCTTGGCATTCATGAGAGATATACCATGATGAGGCCAAAATATTCAACCAAGCACAAATATTTACCTTTCTGTTAAAATCCTAAAAAAAAATTCAGGAAAGATATTTTGAAAAAAATAGTAAACCAGTTAACATGAGAGGCAGAATAGTACCATGGTTAAGCACACAGCCACTGGAGCCAGGCTACCAAAGTTCAAATCTCACCTCTGCTATCTACCAGCTGTGTGACCTTGGACAAGTTACTTAACCTCTCTGTGCCTCAGTTTCCTCATTTCTAAAATGGGTTGTTTGGGGGATTAAAAGAGTTAATATAGTTAAGTGTACTAGTTTCCTATTGCTATAACAAACTACCACCAACTTAGTGACTTAAAGCAACACACATTTATTATCTTACAGTCCTGGAGGTCGGAAGTCCAAAATGGGTCCCAAAAGAACTCAAAATGGGCTAAAGTCAAGGGCGATGTTCCTCCTGGAGTGTCTAGGGGAGCATTCATTCTCCTGCCCTTTCCAGTTTCCGGAGGCCACCATATTTCTTGGCTCCTAGTCCACGTCATCTTCAAAGCCAGAATTGCATCACTTCAATCTCTGCTTTCATTGTCAGTCACATCCCTTTGTTTGACGCTAACTCTCCCTCTTCCCTCTTTCCCTTATTCGAGAAAAGGGCCCACTTGGATAATCCAGGTCTCCTCATCTCAAGATCCTCCATTTAATCACATCTGCAAAGCCCCTTTTGCCATGTAAAGTAACATATTTTCAGGTTCTGGGGATTAGGATATGAATATGGGGGGGGGCATTATTCTACCTATCACAGTAAGGCTAGATAGGTAGGTAAGTAGATAGATAGATGATAGATAGATAGATAGATAGATAGATAGATAGATAGATAGACAGATAGATGAGGCAGACAGCAGGTTTTGCCCAGTGAGAAGGAGCACTGTGGTGTGATAGGCCGGGAGACAAGCTACCAGCCTCTCTCCTGACACAGTCACAGGAGCTGAAAGCATCATCTTTATTCAGAGGCCCTCAAACACAAACTGTCATATGGAAAACTGAGCACTAACCAAGAATCACCAACATCTGAGGAAAGCAATACCCGTGAAGATTAGAACTAAATTCCACTAATGAGAACTAATGCTTAATGAACTAGAAGATAACTTACATTCAGTTTAATTACTCCTCCCAGGGAAATTTGAGAAGACATTACTTCCTAGAAAAAATAAACAACACAAGACCGTGAAATAAATAAAATTAGACATTAATAACAACAGGATGAAAAATGCTATGTTGAGTTAAAAATTTTAAAGCACCCTTTAAATTATCCTTAGGTTAAAGAGGGAAAAATTAAAATTACAAATTATTTTAAAAGTAAACAACAATGAAAGTATTAGGTATCAAAACTGTGGAAAACTATCAACACCGTATCAGAAAAAAAGAATCTATTACCTCAAATGTATTTATTAGAAAACAAAATAGAAGCTATATGAAGGGAGATTACAAACCCCAAAAAAGTAGAAGACAGAAATTAATAAAGGAAAAAGAAAAGAAAAAAAAAACACTTGGAAAAAAAGTAAGCTGATTAATACAAGCAAAAGCTGATCCCTTAAAAGAACTAATATAATAACAAATATCTAACAAGTGTAGTCAAGCCAGTGGGGGTCGGGGTGGGGAGAGACACCAAAAAGTAGCATTAAGTCAGATGAAAGGAAATATTAGAGATGCAGAGAAGTCTCCTAAATTATAAGAGAATAATATTTCTTCTAATCAATTTGAAAATCTAGATGGCTCTACCGGTAGGTGGCTCAGTGGTTGCGTGTCGACCTATGAACCAGGAGTTCAATTCCCAGTCAAAGCACATGCCCTGGTTGTGGTCTCAGTCCCCAGTAGGGGGAGTGCAGGAGGCAGCCAATTAAGGATTCTCTCTCATCATTGATGTTTCTGTCTCTCTCCCTCTTCCTTCCTCTCTGAAATCAATAAAAATAATTTTTTAAGAAAAAAAGGCCGTAAATAAACACACCAAAATGTAAATAATTGTTTCATTGGGATAACAGGGTGATTTTTGCTGTGTTTTCTCTGCAGAGCTGGCAGCTCTGGTGACTGCACTGTGGTATATTGTGAGTCCCAATGTGCTCTAGGAGGCTGCAGCTGCAGAAACGGCTAATACCTCTGCAAGAAAACTCAGCTCAGTGAGTCTTTGCTTTAACGAAGAAATTTCATCAAAAAGATTTTTTAAATAATAACAATGCATTTATTTATTTATTCAATGCTATTTTCATTTGGGAACAGACCTTGCTGTTGAAATGATAAACCTATGCTGTTTTCACCAGAAGAAGATAAAAATATTAAGGGGACAGCCAGTGCAATATCTTGTTAGGAATAGCTTCCCAAACAACTCCTTGAGAGCATTTTGCTTTATTTCATTTGCTGGCTGTGGTGGAGAGGGTCTCCCCTCTAGTCCCAATTCTGACAGTAATTACCTATCAGACTTTGAGCAAGTTATTTAACTTATCTAAGCCTCAGTTCTCACATCTATAAAATGGGAGTGAGTTCTGGATGTGGACTCAGATTATAAGGAAGAAATGAGAACAAGTGTGTATTTTCAAGGATTTGTCAAAGCACTGGACACAGAAGGGATTAGAAGGTGGGTGATTAGACTTCATGCCCCACTACCCCACCAAAGCACAGGTTCCTGAGGGAAATGTAAGTGTGGGGCAAGGTCTGACAGAATACCCTTTATTACTACAAGGCTGAGAACTCTAATGTGCACCGCGCACGTGCACAACTCATTGGCCAGACCAGGGGTCCTCAAACTTTTTAAACAGGGGGCCAGTTCACTGTCCCTCAGACCGTTGGAGGACCGGACTATAGTTTAAAAAAAACTATGAACAAATTCCTATGCACACTGCAAATATCTTATTTTGAAGTAAAAAAACAAAACAGGAACAAATACAATATTTGTATTTGCATGTGGCCCGCGGGCCGTAGTTTGAGGGCCCCTGGTCCAGACAGCCTGACTTATGGGTTCAAAGCCCGGTAAGTGGCCTCCATCACCCTTCTCTGTCAGCCCATGTGAGAACCCCAGATCCTACAGCTCAGGTAGGAAGGACAGACCAATGCAGAAAGCGCACAGGCAAATCAGAGTCTGCAAGCACAACAGCCACAGTGAAAGGGCCGCTGGGGGCCTGCCCCCAGGAGAGCTGGGCTGGGCTTCACAGGCTGGCCAGTCTCACCTTTACACAGCACAGAGCAAGATGCTGAAGGAGCACAAGAGAGCAACAGAGAGATGATGACTTCAGTGTTCCCTGAGCAAGAGAACTCAGCCCTTTCGGGAGAAAGATCCCAAGAAAGTGGGTCCATATGTAAGCTCTGAACTCTGGTTCAAACACTGGATCTCCTCTTCCTGGTGCAACAGAATGTGTTCAGACACGAGTGATGGGTAGCAAGGCTCTTCCTACAGGAGGTGCAGAGAATGAGGCAGCAGTGAGGACTGCGGAGGATCCCCCAGTTGCTTCAAAATGCCCAGTTGAGCCCTGGCCCCTGTGGCTCAGTTGGTTGAGCATCATCCCATGCCCTGAAAGGTTGCTGGTTCAATTCCCATCAGGGAACATGCCAGGATTTCAGATTTGATCCCCAGTAGAGGGCATGCAGCTGATTGATATCTCTCTCTCTCTCTCTCTCTTTCTCTCTCTCTGTTCAATTCCCATCAGGGAACATGCCAGGATTTCAGATTTGATCCCCAGTAGAGGGCATGCAGCCGATTGATATCTCTCTCTCTCTCTCTTCCTCTCTCTCTCTCTCTAATCAATACAAATATATTTTTTAAAAAAACAAAACTCCCACCTGAGGCATGTCAGCTATTTCCTGCTCGGACCTGGACTGGTCTAAAGATTTACAAAGAAAAATAAAGAAAAGTCATCTCTTGGGTACAGCAATAGAGTGAGGAGCTACATAATCTTGCTCCTGAGGCCCCGGATTCTGACCGTACTTCCTGTTCAGGCTCTATGATGCCGACTCTACTAAGAATCCCCTCTTCCCCTGAGGTGAGGCCTTGTCTTTCAACTTTCCAGGGCTGGACTCATGTGTCTATTTCCCTTATTACCACACGTCTCTTGTATAAATGCCCTGTCTTTTTTACAGAGAGGAAGGGAGAGGGATAGAGAGTTAGAAACTCTGGGGATGTGCCCACAACCAAGGCACATGCCCTTGACCGGAATTGAACCTGGGACCTTTCAGTCCGCAGGCCGATGCTCTATCCACTGAGCCAAACCAGTTAGGGCATAAATGCCCTGTCTTCTTGTTCTCATAACGGCCCACCTGGCTACAGCCACTGATAACTGAGTGCTTGGCTCCATCAAAGGAGGAGAGAACCACTCGGAGCCTGATGTGGACTCAGACTGGGGCCCACAGACTCTGCACTGTTATCTACTCGGCAAGACGCATGAAGCAGGAGCAGTGCAGGCGCTGTTCTTACAAAGGACGCTCATCTGCACACGTTCTCTTCTGATTGAAGCTCTGTCCTCGCCAGCTCTTCCTTAGTGATGCTTCTCCTCCCCTCCATGTCCTGCAGAAACAGCCTGTGTGTTCACAGCCTCACACATCTAGCACCTTAACCAAGCGGCAGTGGAACCAAGCTCTCAGGATTCCTTTGTGTCCTGATTGCATTAATATTTTTAAATTCGCTGTTACTTAATTTTCCTGTTCTTGCACCTGTTCACATATTTTATCTGGCAGGCAACCTGCCACATGTTGACCTATAAAATGAAAACCTGAAAACTAAAAAATAAACCAAGAGTCTGAATAAAACCAAAAATAATTTCAACCCCTCTTCAGAGGTGGAGAGGAGGGAGTCTGTGCAACCACCAGTTGAATGGCTAACCTCCAAGGCCCTTCCCGCTCTGAGAATCTGTGAGAGTGGCTTCTGCCTGGCAGGTAAGTCTCATGCACGGAGGCCTAGCCTCATTCATTGCCAGGATCTGTACCCCTTCTCCTCCGGGGGGTGGGGCCTGGGTGCTACCTGACTCCTACCTGCAGCACCATCCTGTCTCAGTCTCTGGAGCTAGTCCTGTCTGGAGGCGACCTGAGAATTTCGTCCGGACCATGTCGGTATTGTCCCTTCAGACTGTCAGGGCCCCAAGGGCAGGCACTGTGCCTCTGCACTTCCCCTGGCTCAGGCCCCAAACACAGCAGGTTCTCAGTGAATATCTGCTCAATAAACGAGGGGCTGTGGCTCCCCGTGCCTGAGCCCTGTCCGGGCAGCCTTCCCAGCAGCCCCACTGGGGCAGACACTGGGACCTGGCCTGTTCAGGCCCCTTTATGGTGCTCGCAACAGAGGCCGCCAAACTAGAAACACAGTTTCCGAAGCTCTTTTTATCTAGGTTCCAAATGTGATTTAGTTTCTCTAATCAGATGCACTGGTCTGAGGCTTCATTCAGAATGGAGTCGCATGGGGAGAGGGACAATGCCTGAGGCATCACATTTTTGTGTGCACGGAGCTGAACCACAGCTGTGGCGGCAGCCTCCCCTTCCGCGGCCTCCTGATTCTGGCAAAGCCAGCAACCCCGTGGTGTGATTGTAGGGAGTCATTCCTGGAAGGGAAATCCAGTTACTTTCTGTTCCTTCAGCTCCCCCACCCCCACTCCAAGAATTCTGTGAGCCATCACGTTTTCCATAAACCCCTTTCTGCTTCACCAGGTAGAACAGATTCTGTTTCCTCCAACTACGACCCTCGCACCCTGTCAGGCAGCTCCTGGCCTTCCACCTTCCGAAGTTAATCCCCAAACTCAAACCCCCACGCCTTTCGTCACGGCTCAGTTTACCTTCACCCCACTCTGTTAGAGAGGAAGCACTTGCTCTGCTCAGGGGCCCTGGGCTACATGCTGGAATTAGTGACATGAAAGGGACCTAGTCCTTAATTGCGTAATCGAAGGATTTATCAATCAGAATAGGAAACCCGAGAAGGATTTATCAATCAGAATAGGAAACCAGAGAAGGTTTTTAAATGTTCCAGGCAGGTCATCTCCGTTCCAAGCGTGTTCACTGAGAGCTACTTTGAGCATCTTCTGGAAAGTGAAACAAGGGCCAGCAAACGTTTCACGAGATGAGGATTTTTAAATCTACCCTGAGCACACAGCATCGGTCACCACAGCCAGGCGGACTTCCTTAAGGACTAGCGCACGCCTGCCCCACCGACGCTACCCCGTTCCTTCATAA